GAAAATATAGAGAAAGAAGGAATGGATTCTATTGGTATACGAACCAAAGGAGGGCAAAAAATGTTGTTTGTTTGGGGGAAAAAGGATTTTCTGAGTTGTTGTTGTGTTATTGTTAAAGTGACGTGAATTGTTCCGAAAACGTGATTGAGAACACTTACAGAGAAGAATTGGAACCGTGTAAATTCTTCAACTATCACGAAGGTGGTAAACCCGTTTGGCTTACAAGAGCTGATCTGCGACGTCTCGAGAACGCATTAAAGACACGTTTCTTGGAATGGTTGAAAACAGAACCAAAGAAGATGAATAGCGTTCTAGATAAACTTGGTTGTAATGTACAACAACAACTCGATTACAGAAGCAGACCTTTCGATCAGGTTCTCTTTAATAACAATATTGAATACAATAATAATAATATTAATAATAATATCAATAATAATTTTAATAATAATGTTCAGCGTTCAACAGCATTAAAGAGCATAGTGCCTTTAATAATGGAATTACGCGATAAAGAAATGTTACCAGCAATTTGCTTCAATGATGACCGTAAAGTTTGTGAGCAGCTTGCCGACAAACTGTTCGAATACTTGGAGGCAGAACAACACGAGTTTGAAGAGAGCGATGAATTCAAGTCGAAATATGCAATCAAGGATGAGGAGGTTCGTGTCCATTCATTGTGCATCATTAGAGCAGTTTATATCAAACAAATGAAGTTGAACAGCGATGACTCAATACGAACTAGTTATGCGATTTTCGTAGAAAGTTTTCAACTTGCTTTCGATCGTTACGAATATGAGCGAAGAGGGCACAAAGTTTTTGAAAAAAATGGCTTAAAAATCCTGTTTGAAGTGATTATTTGGCAGTAAAGAAGAAGGGAGTTTTGGTAATTCGATATCGTGATTATCTTTCGAATGTGTCCATGCAGAATGCGTAACGATGCTTAGTAAATGATTCGGTTGTGTCAGTTTGGATTCGTTTTGTGATGACTGATGTGAAATTTTGTTGTAAGAGCAATGAATGAAAGTAATGAGTATGTTGGACGTGCTTCAGTTGTTATTTTAAACGATGAAAAATATTGAAACAAAGAAAGAAAAACAAAGAAATTGTTATTTATTTAGAAAATGATGAAATTAACGAAGAGGAAACGAGACGTAAAGGAGAAAGCGAAAGTAACGAAAAAGAAAGGCGGCGAAAAGGATCGTGACGAGGAACGTGATAATCGTGAGACTCCTCAAGATACTAACGAGGAGGATCCATTGGCGGCGAAGAAACTTCGTTTGAATCAAATTCTTGAAAGGTATTATCATTAATATTTGCTATAGTGGTCACTTCTCTAAACAGTAGAGTTGAAGTCATTTCATTTGTTGTAAATATCTATGGTACACAATAAATAACGAGTGTGCATCGAGATTCAGCTTTTGAAAATGTTCATTTTTTTCTGAAAATACTCCTAATAAGTTACTACTCATCTAAAAGTACACAAAAATTGTATGAATTTAAAAACGAATTGACGTGTTGATTTGGCAGATTCAAATTGCGCTCTCAGCAAAGAGACGAAGATCTGTTTACGAAGATGACTGACCGTTTGAATCGTGGCAGTGGGCGTTTTCGTGATTCGACGAGACTTTTGTTGAAATTGTTCGAACGAGGAATAGGTTTCCATCACGAAGGATTAAACGCTGCTGAGCGTATTGCTGTTGAAATTCTCTTTAGGTTATTTGCTCATTGAATTTATTCATTCGTACGATCGTTTGTTTCATCTTTTCGTTGATGGTCGATCGATTCAGCGTGTGCATGATCAACGAATAGTTCAATTCATTTTCTCTTATGCCGATCCACAATTGCAACTCATTACGAGGATTTACATCTCAAATCATTGAATGTCGCATCTTTCTTTCGTGTGCACTCTGATTACAAGTTGATGATAACATGGAAGAATATAAAGTGACTTTCATTCAGATCTGGCCAACTGGCAATGATCTTTTCAACATCGACACTTGCATTAGGTATGAACATGCCGTGTAAATCGGTTATTTTCGGTGTTGACCATCCGTTGTTAACACCACTTCAATTCCGACAAATGTCTGGTCGTGCGGGTCGACGTGGTTATGATCGTTCTGGAACAGTTATATTCATGTCGATACCTACTTCCAAGGTATGCTGGCCTATTTTTATCATTATTTGCTATGGATTTTTATCGAAAAATTGCCTGAAAAGCATCGTTCAATATTTTTCGTTCAGTGAGTTCAATCGACTTGAATATCTTTCAGTATTTTTTAGCATTTCATTTTGGCGTTCTGTTGAATCTTTCGAAAGACTTGAAAGTGTTTCATATCCACACGTTCGTTATTTTTGATCATGTTAAATGAGTTGTGAATTCAACCACAATTAATCGTTTGATGCAGTAAAGTGATTATTTATTTGAGATTCGTCGTTTGTTAACTGCCAGTTTATCGACATTGCGTGGTAATGTTCCGTTCACAGCATCTTTCATACTTCGACTCTTCTCCTACGTTCATCAGAAAACAGATGCTAAAGGTAATCATTCATTTGATATTATTCTTCTTTTTCAAAGTTTATTGATTTTAATATTTTCTAAAAATGAATTAATGTTCCGAATATCATTTACGAGAGAAGTAACGGATGAAATTTTTTTCATGAAATAAGTTGAATGAAAGCACAATGACTATAACATCATCGTTANTACACCAGCACCAAAGCTGCTTTATCTCTGTTCGATGTCCGCGTCAAGGTTGTTTCTTCATTTCTTTTTGATTACGTAATTATTTTTCATCTCCTCTTACAAAACAAACGAAATTCTCTCAATGAAGCCTTTTTATCAGTTAGTTGCAGTCTGCAACTTGAACAGCTTCTATGGATGCAATCGTGCTTTCGTTTCCATTTTCTTTAAAATCATTTGTTGCAATTCCGTTCCTTGAAAATTAGGTGTTTTTTAATAAGGATTATAAAGTACTCATCGAAATTATAGCTTTCCTTCATCCAATTTAAAAATATATGCCTTTCAAAAATCTAGTGTATTTGAATTCAAAGGTTCTGTTAATGTCAATTGTTCACTTGCCTCGTAAATTTCGAAGAAGAATATAGTAATATAGTTGTTATATTGAATCATATCATGCAATGAAGAAGAATACAAAATTTGGTAGAGTTCCGTTAGCGTTTCAGACAGCGTTGACGTTACTGGAGAATTCATTCGCGTTGTTCACTCGCAGTGAAATGAGAGATGCTCTGCAAAAGCAAATCAAATTGTTCACATTATTCTCGGTGCAGTTACTCCGATCACTGGAGTTACTCAACGAAAAGGTTCGTTTTATTGCGATAAAAATTGAGTTGTTTCATCTTTAACTAGTTGATAACTAACTTGATTGATTAACACCTCAGTTGAGTTGCTTCATTTAAGTTGAAATTCATTTGCAGGGTGAACCAAAGGGAATGGCTTCGATTGTGTGTCATTTATCGGCGCATGAACCCGGCAATTTGTTGTTCATACATTTGCTTCAAAATGGCAAATTCCACGCCTTTTGCAAGCAATACACAACCGATAGGAATAAACTCAAATCGTTACTGATCGTCGTATTCGCGAATCTCTTCACGAATCGACGTCTTCCATTGGGATGGAATCCAGATGATAAAGATTCATATCCGTCTGGAGGCGATTCCAGGGTTTATTTCTATTTTCAACTTTTTGAAAGAGTCGTTGAATGTTGATGTACATAGATGTCGCGAAAAATGTTCAATTTGTTTTATTTAACGATTAGAATTAAACATTCCGCAAAATTGCTCTTTTTTGGTATCAATATTTCGGTGCTGTTTCAATGAAAGTCGGTTTTCTCTTCATAGAGTTAGAGCTTGGAATTTTGAAGTGCGCGAGCTCGATAGGACATATTCGTTCACCGAACCCTTAAATTAGTAATAATTAGTAGAGATCACAGTAATAATCAAAGTAAGATGCGATCGTTTTGATATTGCCATAGAAAGAATGTCATCATTGGAGAGGTCATCCTGCTCTTTGCAGTTATACTCGCCTCATGAGTTGTGTTATCAAATTGCATTTAGCATGAAATGGATTTAAGTTGTTCTAATTCATTAGATGTTACGAACAGAATACTTTGAAACCTCCGTAACTTATTCAGTTCCCGATTACTTTTTCAGAAATTAACTTTTTGGTGTGTTTTGAGGTGTTCCTGGAATCGATGCCCGAATTGTTCACAAAATCTGTTGAAGAGTATAACGAGAGAGTTGAGAGTCTATTCAGGGCATTTATGCAGTTAGGTTCGAAAAATGGTTCGCTCCAGGTTGGTTTTATAAACGCATATTTATCGGTATACCACACAAGTTATACTTAAATATAACTGTTTACTGCTCTATTGACTCACTCTGAATGATTCCCATCTTGGAAGAAGTTATTTCAGTTAGCAAGGAATCTGCAACTTTCAGGGTAGTTGTTTTTCGTTGACGGGCACTGAAGATACGTCGTTGTCGATATTCTCAACTGATATCGTACGTCCTCTGCACGATGGTTTCATTTTCGACGAGACACTCGTACCAGCACGTCCCGTTACTCGACACGATCATCGTGAAAACAAGGTGTTCATTTGTTTTTGCTTGAATTTGATGCGTTCTTGATGCATTATTCTTTAATATTTCAATTCTCATTCGCAACTTCTTAAAATTAATTTGGTTTGTTCATCCGCTCATGGTAATTGCTGTGTTCAGATCTGGTTCAATGCATACGCAGTTGATTTTTGGCGTTTAGAATCGAAGAGATCACTTGAAGCAAACAATAATATCGCAGATCGTGAAACATGGCACCTCATTCACGACTTTTCGGTTATTGATTCATCAGTTTTGATTATTTTGTCGCGATTACTTCGGTCATATTGAACTTCGCATTCTCTATCACGATCAGTCTAATATTCAGTTTTTTCTTCTAATTCATTAGGTGTTAGGAACAGAGTACTTTGCCGCCTTCTCGTTTTCTTCATTCATCCGAACTTTCGGATTCTAACCAGAATCAATATCGTCAATGAAGTGATGATTGCATGAAAAGATTTGGTAATAACCGTGATAGAAGACATCTGTGACTTGTTTTTCTATAAATTGGTGCGTTTCATTGAATTTCGAATCAGCGTCAAGGTAGCAGTTTCTAAATGATTTTAGATTTGTTGTAACATGTTGGTGTTTAGGTAACACTTGATAAGATTAGTGAAGCGCTTTCAAAAGTTGGTCGTTCGAAGGATCCGTTCGTGGAAATAATGAAGGAACTCTCTGAAGAATACGACAAGAAATTCCGTGGTGCATTCGGAATGAAGCAAAAATATTAATTTGTTAGTTGTTCGTTTTCTTTTAATTTTGGGAATGGTGACTGACAAATTTGCGTTTTTAAGAATGAATTTCTGAATGAAATTTTGATTCAAACCGACTTCAGCCAACAATTTTTGTTGAAGTCTTATTCTGAAGTGTTGGAAGACGATATTGAGTGTCGCTCGGGCAGGATTTTTGACCTTTCTAGTTTACGTATTTCTCACATTTTCAATGCAAAAATTTTTGGAACTTTTAGATGTGGAAAGTGTTATGTATCAAAAAGATTGTTCGATAAACATCACATATACTAGAATTATATTGTTCATGTAACCGGACAAGTCAACAACACAACATTTCATCGAATTCAATATATATATATTTTTTTTAAACCATAGGAGGATGCCTCATATTCATGGTGTCCAAACTGTTGATTTAAATTATTTTATGTATCAATGGAAGGTGCGTTGATTTTGTGTGTGTGACCAGATGCCCATTTATAAATTTAGGATACTTTCATTTCATTTATAAATCCGCTGTTTTATCATGAACAATGTGTGTTCTTGGGTTGCATATTGATTTTCGTTTGCGAATAATCGTTCACATAATTTTAATGGATCTTTCAAAAACACAAATTTTGCCCACTTAATTCATGTTATATTCATTAATTGTGTACCATTTTATCAAATGATACATAATTAATGAAATAACTTTGATCAGTGATCGAACACATATTTTGATAGGAGGAATGAAATGGATTCGAGCGCATCGTTTTGATGAGCAGCTTTAGTTTATGATTTTTAAGTTTACATTCATCATCGCATATGAATTTTAGTTTTCTGTTCATGTTTATGGGTTATAGGTTTGTTTTATGAATTATTAATATCAAAGGTATTATCATCCTTCAACAATACTCATTGATCAGTTCGAATAGGGTTCAGTGCCGTGATCGATGATGGTGTTTTATCTGCACTACCTTCATTATCACTGTTTTATCGTACAACTACTTTTGTCGACCGTGTTACATTTTCGAACTTTCAGCTGAACGTTTTCAATTTTCGTCGATACGTTACAAATGTCTTGCTTTGAATTGTTTCCAGTTTGTTCCATTTTTTTGAGAATAGCTTAATGATAATGTGTAATGATTCCGTGTTATCGCAACCTTATCGTTTGTTTATTGACCAGTAATGCCCTGACGTTATTTGAATTTCTATTTTTTGCACTCATCTGTTTGTAATTTTCGGTTCTCAACGATATGGATCGTTTGCAGTTTTATTCGTTTGCTTCATTTTACGAAGATTGTTTTGACATCTGTCGCAGATCATGAATATCATTGAATGTTTGCGTTATGAATCCCTTTTTNTTTTTCTTGATTTATTATATTTGTCGATATCCGAATTCAAATGAGGTTTGTTGTAGTTTATTTGTTTTTAAAAAATGAACGGAATAAAATTATCGAAAAAACGAACAAAATGTAAGATGGCAACGGCAAGGAAATTAAAATAGATGATAGTTTTATTGCGAACGTATTGACAGTTTAGGGATACAACAGAAAGAACGATTATAAATATTCACATATTTCTTTCATGAACCAAATTATGTGCACAAAGAAATTTTACCAGAAGTGAATGACAAAATACACTGGAGGTGGTGGATAGGATGAAAAACCGATAAGGAATCATCAACCTTGAGTTTTTTGGCTCTTTTAGAATTTCATAAATTCGCAAACAAAATGGTCAGATGATTAATGTTAACTGAAATGGAAGATTCGGAAATTCTCGCGTTTCCACTACCCTTCAATGGATTTGTTCCAGCCTGGATTGGGTTAGAACATTAAGATTCGCGTTTTTTTGTGCATAATTCAAGTGAAGGCAAAGCAATAATTTAATTTTTTAACGATGGCGATTGTACGTACAGTAGAAACAGTAAAAGACAAGCCGATTCGTAAATATTACAACAAATACGACTGAAAACTATCGAATATAGAGAAACCAAAATAAGTGATAATAAGTTAAACAGACATAATCAGTTAAACTGAGTTACACGGTTTTTCTTCCCTCGCTATCTTTATCCGAGGGGATTTTGTTTTTTTAAAATTTCTACAATTAATAATAGGATCTCATGATCGATACTTCTTTCACGATTTTTCTGTAGTCATCCAAACTTTAAATTTCACTTCTTTATC